CTTAAAAATTCGTTCGTTTCGTTAAAAATTCTATAGGACGACGTGGGGCTGCATAGGCAACTTTTGTCATAAACCATATTCAAATGCGAAACTTGAATAAAAGAATTCGGTGAATAATGTAGCTAAAATCATCAAAATACCGAATATCGGGGGGTACCGTTATATGGGGGCTATACGAAGACGTGGACCTGCACAGACAATTTTCTGTCATAGGCTGTAGTAGCCATTGCGATCTTCAAATACCAAATTTGAAACAATTCCCGTGAATAAGGTAGCTTAAATCACCAAAATACCTAAAAAAGGGAGGTACCATTATACGGGGGCTATATGAAGACGTGGACTTGTAGAGACAATTTTCTGTCATAGGCTGTAGTATCCATTACGAATTTCAAACACCAAATTTGAAAAAAATCCGGTGAATAATGTCGCTTAAAACACCAAAATACCGAAAATGGGAGGTACCATTATATGGGGGCTATACCAAAACGTGGACCCACATCACCCATTTTCAATACCAAAAGTCCTGCAGACATAATACACATTTGAGTAAAATTTTATCAAACTACTTCATTTTGTTTGAAAGCTAGAGTGATTTCCACAGACGGATAGACGGACGGACATCGCTAAATCGACATAGAATTTTTCGCTTATCAAAAATATATATATTTATACTTTGTGGGGTCTAAAATGTATATTTCGAGGTGTTACAAACGGAATGACAAACTTAATATGCTCTCGATACTATGGTGAAGGGTGTAAAAACAAGCACCAATTCAAACGTGAGAAAATGCTTGCCAAGAATGCAAATATAAACGTGAAGAATGCTTTGTTTTAATTGTTTCTTCTTTCTTTTTTTACGAAAAATTTAAATAAATTGAAAGTACTTATTGCACGTTTTGCCTATATTAAGCGAGGAGGCGTTGACATCACACAACTTTAAATAACGAAATATTGTTTGTACAATGAGTTCCAAAGTCCAATCACATTAATTTTGACTCAATACTTTGCCGGGTATCAGATAATTATAGGACGGACAATAATATATTAAAAAAAAACAACAAAGCATGATAGATTCACAAGAAATTGTGTTAAATCAAAACAAAAAAAAAAAACGCTTAGTACACAGAAAAAGGGACTACTATACACAACGGACAAATTTACAAACAAATTAATAACAACAAATAATTTGTATACTACAAAATGAACTAAAAAATGTCAAATACATATTATAAAATTTTGAATTTTGTCACGAGTTGGGAGTCAGATGCAGAGCAATTTTTGTTAAAGAAAAAAACTGGGTATTAGGGCAAGGAAAGCAAAAAGTGGCCTTTCTTTTGTTTTTTCCCCTCAAAAATTGAGTTTTCCTTTAAATAAACCGTCTCTGGGGGAATATAGGATTTTACATTTGTTTCACAAAAATTCATAGACAAATATCCAAACACGATTCTAAGAAAGTAGCACCAGGCACAATGATTAATTTACAATAATTTTAAAAGTAATTATGTTTTTTTTGCTTACATGGTGTACAAGTCTAGATATTTGGGGCTGCAATGGCATATTTAGGCTTGAAAAATTACGACTGGTTTGTTTCGAGTGGTTAGATGCTGGCAGCAGCAACCTTGATGACATCGGACCTTGTGTATATAATAGAAATTATTTATATATATTAATAAAGCATAGCAATATTGATAGCATATTGGACGGTGCAGCATGTTTAGAACAAAAATTGTAATTTGATAAGAACAAAATGAGGCCCAGATTATTTTCAAATAGCTTGAAACTTTCAGTCTTTTAAATGTTTTACCAAAGAATGATCGTTTCCGCAAAATTCAAATATTCTTTTAGCCTTATTTGCTATTATAAAATCAACATTTTGTTTAACAAGACTTCTTGCTGATATGGGTAGAGTGTGTTTTTTTTTTTTTTTTTTTTGAACGGAAAATGGCATGGGTTATTTTGAAATCAAACAGTCTACACATATCATTTACAAACTAAACATGGATTTCAACAGCGAAAATTGGAATTCTCAAAGGAAGGGAAATGTTGCAGGACCAATCATCTCGCAAATTGGTGGCATGATTTCTGTTTACCTATAGCGGCATTCGTGGCAAAACCTTGTGTCTTAATTGTTGTCATAGAATTATGCATTCTAGTGTTGTTGGCCGTAGCAGTATTGTTGTTGCTGCTGCTGTTGTTGTTGTTGGAATATGCACCTGAAGTGGTTGTCCTAACAAAACACAAACGAGCTGGTGCCGAATTAATGGCAAAACGGGATAACGAAGCCATCGTTCAACTGAAAACGTAAAAAATTAAATAGGTATTTTAATCTAACCGGTAATTTAGTTTAAAAAAATAGATATTAACAAAAAAAAAGTGAAACAAATTAGTACAGCATTGGGTTTTTAGTAGAAAAATATGGGATAGGGATCATCGAAACTTCAGCGGAGGACCTTTTCAATTAAAACTAACCACATAGCCATAACAATTAAAAACCTTACTTCGTAATTGGAAATAAATTGGTTTCGTGTCGCTTGACAACATTTACCCACCCCGGCCGGTACTCCTCACTCACGCATAAAGATATCATTCAACTGTGTCGGCAGCCATACATACCAATTACATAGCGACCAACGACATGCATAGATTTAAATATATACATACAAATTTTATATGAAAAAAAAAAATACAATATCAACAAAATAAAGACTTTTGTGCATAACGAGACTTTGGACCCTGTGTGTATGTAATTGGAGGTATATAGAGTGCCCCCTGCAGAAGACACAAGTGCAGAGGAACGAGGACAAAGATACATTGTGGATGCATACATGGATGCACAAGACAAGAAAAAAAAAAGACAATGAACTTTGGACAGGAAAAAGTGTATGGCATTCATAATTTTATAGATAATACTTTGATATTTGTTCTTAAATATACTATGGCATTTAATAAATTTAAGCAACAACGAATCAAGATAGAACCAGTAAAAAATCAATACCAACTAAAATACACATAAACCGGACTTACGTGTACGTCTTCTTGTCTCTTTTTGCTCTGGTAGTTGTATCCAACGATCGTATGATTTGCGTTATTATTGATTTTTATCGTAACCTCTTTAATTGGATTTATTTTTAATATTTTTTCGTTGTCTGGTTACTTCCTTTCTCACGGCCCCAAGTGAAAGAGTAGATTCCTTCCTCCAAACACCAAACCAAAACTTGCAATAAAAAATTGCAGTTAGAATTGACAAACAATCAATGGTGCAATCGATAGTTGCTGTAACATCGATAAACTTTGTCACTACTTAAGGGTCAATCAGACGAAATGTTTTTTATAACTGGTTCTTATTGGAATTTAAACTACGTCGTTCGCTCTCAGAATCACATATAGGAAATAACCCCTTGATAGGGCAGAATTGGTAATTTGAATAAGATAATTGGAATTTTTATATTTTTTAGAATTTGATATGAGCAAAAGAATTAATTGTCTTTTTTTAAAAAAAGGTAATTGCACTCCACTTTCTTCTTCCATATTTTATTGGTAATGTTGAAATTGTTGATAAAAAAGTGTATCTCAGATGAGATGGAAGAAAAAATGTAGTGCGGCGTTTGAATGTACATACGTCATTCAACAATATACAGGGTGAGATAACAAATGCAAACGCCATAATTTTTACATATTTTTTTAAATTTTATTGAATGAAAGCAAAAAATGTCGGAAATAGCATCAAATTTTAGAATAAGTTTAGATTTGTGCGAAATGGTCACCTTTGGTACGAATTATGGCCTTCAAACGGCCAATGAAACCGTCACACGCCGCCCGAATTTTGCTCGGCGGTATTTTAGCCCATTCCCGGCGAATCGTGCACATTTTCAGCTGACCTCTTTGGCAAGTAAACACGAGCGGATCATTTTGTTTGTTTACAAACAGCTGGACAACGAATGTTTTCTCTTCGGAGAAGACCAAATTCGGCAGTTTCCCACTTTCGGCCAAGCGAAGCAACTCTTTAGCTCTTTTGAGTCAATTTTTTTCTGTTGCGGAATATTCGTTTGATATACCTTTTAAACCATTCATGGCAGAAGAATACAGGTAGATGCATCAACGCTTGGGAGCACTGATATGTCAATAAATTTAAATGTTTTTTTTTTAAATATAAGTAGATTTTTATATGTTTCCTTATACTACGTCAGTGGGAGGCTATTAAAATTCGCGTTTTTCAATAATTTTTACAAATTTAAATAATTTCTCATTCAACATTTTCAATTCCAAAATTGGTTTGACAGTACATTGTCCCAGCAGCTGTGTCGACGCGTCTAACTATATTCTTCTACCATGAAACCATGGTACAATGAAGAGAAGGTAGGTCAACTTTGAAAAAATTGCAAGTATAGAGGTCTACCTGTTTGGCTTGTAATGTCAGAATTAGTATCAAAACAATAAAAAATCAAACAACTTGTTGCATTTATTTTGAATAAATAATTGAAAACCGCGATAATTGAATGAAAGGTCAACACTTCTTTTCAAAATCATGTACTATATATCTCTAAAGGATTATTTCGCTACAAAAACTCTAGATTTTGTCGATGCATACGTTGAAATAAACATTTTGAAAACACCCGAATTTGAATGTTTTCTGAACAATTTTTTTGTTATTGAAAAGAAAACACATACATAAACAAATAAAGATGACATATTAAGCCAAGAAAATAAAAAAATTAAAATCATATGGTAGTTCTGCCCTACCTTGATATCATTGTACCATGTGGCAATCGAAGGTGGTTATGGAAATCATTCCAAAATAATTGCATTTAGCAATATGATAAATGTATTCCCGAAAGCCATAGAGCAACTTTGGCCAATTCAAAATATGAATTCATGACGTTTTCACTAAAATCTATCAAATTCTTACAATCGGGACTTTTTATGAATAATTGTTCATATCCAGATTATGCTGTTATTTGTTATTGTTATTATGTTTGCAGATTTTAAGATTTCCTTTCCAATTTAACTCTTTTATAAACATTTTATTCTCAATAACAACTAACTAACGTATAACAACATTAAAATTTTTTACACATGCATCCGCAATACGTTTATGGATTTCGTTGACTTCTGTCTGGGTCAAGGTACGTTCCATGTGGCGATATACAATTCTGAAGCAGACACTGGTTAAACCCTTTTTGGGATGCTTAAATTTGTCAACCAAACTGATCTGCAAATCAAAAACAAATATTAATGTTGTAACTAACTTAAAAAATGGATTTCCTCCTCACCTGTTCAACGACATCACCAGCCTCAGTTCGGACCAAATCATAAAAGTCATTTGGTACAAAACCAGCATCAACATCCACTCCAGCTGGTAGCCAAAATGATAAATCATTCTTACACTGGGGATACATGGATACCGGTTTGTATTTGGGCAATTTGTATAGATCTTTTTCACTAAATTGCGATAAAAATCCAGTGTCGTTGGACCAGAATAAACGTATGTCAGGTATATCGAACAGCACCATGGCCAGGCGTTCCAGACCCAAACCAAAGGCATAGCCAATTGAGTTATGCGCTCCAGACTGTTGTAAGATTTCGTGTCTCATGATGCCACAACCCAACACTTCCAACCAATTATCTTTGTAGAATATCTCCAATTCCCAGGAGGGTTGGGTAAAGGGGAAATATGTGTCTACCCAACGGTACTGAATATTTGAACCGAACAAATCTTGAGCCAAGCCAAGTAGGACCTGTTTCAATTCATGTTCCATAAGTTTAACAGCCTCCAGTGTGTGACAGGGTTGTTTCGATTGATCCAAACACTTGGACGATGAATGTATCAGCTGTTGTTTCTGCTTGTTTCCTTGAATCTCTCGCCACTCATTCTCAAATATTTCCAGATCTGGATTACGTTCAAATAATTTATCTTTGGTTACCAGACGTACAGCATCCAATTGATGAAACACTGGATAATGGGTACTATCGATTTCATCACGTCGATAAACTTCGCCCACAACGAGAAAATTATCCAAACCACTGGATATTAAATCAACCTGATGGGCTGTGGTGTGGGCTCGTAACAGATAACTTTTATTTATGTAATAACAATCCGATTTATTGCGACTTACATGATCCAAGGGTATCAGAAGATTGTCAAAGTTTTGCTGTACCGTTACCACCGGATTCAATTTGTCATAGACCGAGAATAAAGGATTTCCTCGAGAAGTCTTATAGGTCTTATAGAAATAATTGACGATACGCTGCCTTATTATGGAAAGGGGATGATTTGTTTGCAGATGTTTTTGCATGCCCAAATAGGAGAGTATTTTGGGTGTCACATTTGTCCAGTTATCCACCACAAACGAGCCACCATTTATGTCGATGCGACTTTGTTCTGCCGTATTTGTGCTTGTGCTGGCCAAACACCGGGATGATACTAGAAATCTGGCAGGAGCTGTTGTTCTTAAGACTTTGCCATTGTCGATAGAGGCTTTTAATAGACTCAGACAGGGAGATTTTGTTAAAACTTGAAGAGTTAATAACATTTTTTAAGAGTTTCTCAGTTTTTCCGCCACCACCAGCTCCAAATTATCCAATCGTAAGCAGATCACGAAGCCAATAAATATTAAGAAAACGCCGTCACCGAAACACAAACAAGAAAAAAAAAATAGAACAGAAATGAGTGATAAAGATGAAAACCAAAACAAACACAACGAATGGATTGGCAGTAATCCCAAAGAGAAGCAACCGATTATTATGTTCACCTGAATGAACGAAGGAACTAGTTTCGAATGTCGTAAATGAGAATACATGAATTATCATCATTCATGTGCGGAAATAGATAGAAAAGTAAAATTTCTTGCTATCTATTTCAAAATATTTTCAAGCAAATATGTCGTGTGTCTGCAAATAAACAACAAATGTCGTCACCTAATTAAGCCGGCACCGAATGACTTATTGTTTACATGTACTTCTCTCCTCAGCGCAAAATTGGATGTTCACTGACTGAATTGAGGAACCAGTGCCAATCTAAAGTGTAATTGTTTACGTTTCTTTGTGACTCTAACGTAACGTACACACTCCACTAATCGACAGAATAAAACTCACTCTCTCGCTCTCTAGCCGCAGGTGACATTCCTTCATATTTGACATTTGAAGCATTCTTTTTTTTCTTTTGTTGAAAAAATCACAAAATCGACGAAATTTTACACAAAAGAAGCCAACAAAAGCTTAGAATATATATAAAAATAGCTCGCCGTTCTTTGGAAGACAAATTAAGGAGATCTCGAAAATTATCCATTGGCATATGGTCAAATCAACTTGAAATAAACAAAAGAACTCGGCAGGTGCTTTTAAGGAAAAAAATTCTACACAAGATCAAGATTTGTTCAAAATTTTCCAGAACAAAAATAGAAAAGTAATGCAACAGAATGTCTTCCAATAAAAATAAAAATGAACTCAAGAAATTGTCCGAAGAGTCTTTGCTACAGCCACCGGAAAAGGTTTTCGATATCATCTGTAAATTGGGAGAGGGCAGCTATGGTTCGGTCTACAAGGCCCTGCATAAGGAGAGCAGCAGTATTGTGGCCATTAAATTGGTACCCGTCGAATCCGATCTGCACGATATTATCAAAGAAATCTCGATAATGCAACAGTGCGACTCTCCCTATGTGGTGCGTTATTATGGCTCATATTTTAAGCAATACGATTTGTGGATCTGTATGGAATACTGTGGTGCTGGTAGTGTTTCGGATATAATGAGGCTGCGTAAGAAGACTTTGACGGAAGATGAAATCTCTACAATATTGTCGGATACATTGAAGGGACTGGTGTATTTGCATTTGCGGCGGAAGATACATCGTGACATAAAGGCCGGCAATATATTGCTCAACACAGAGGGATATGCAAAGTTGGCTGATTTTGGGGTGGCTGGACAGTTGACGGATACCATGGCTAAGCGGAACACGGTGATTGGCACCCCGTTTTGGATGGCCCCCGAAGTGATTGAGGAAATTGGTTATGACTGCGTTGCCGATATATGGTCTTTGGGCATCACCGCTTTGGAAATGGCCGAGGGCAAGCCACCGTATGGTGATATACATCCCATGCGTGCTATTTTCATGATACCACAAAAACCACCACCATCTTTTCGCGAACCTGATCGCTGGAGCACTCAATTTATAGATTTTGTGAGTCTTTGTTTGGTGAAAAACCCTGAAGAACGTGCCACTGCCTCCGATTTGCTGGAGCATGAATTCATACGCAATGCCAAACATCGTAGTATCCTAAAGACAATGATTGAGGAAACATGTGCCATACGTGAACAGCAAAGAAATTCAAAGGCATCCGGTGGCTCGGTTCAGGGTATGAGTCAAGCCAAGAGTTTGGCCACCCAACAGGATGATATACTGGCAGAAGAAGAGCATGGCGGAGAGTTCCCGGTAGAAACAGTCAAGACATTTATTGATGATCCGGGCACCTTGGTGCCGGAGAAGTTCGGGGAATATCAACAGACCTCAAATGCATCGGATGCCACAATGATTGCCCATACAGAAGATATGGGTACACTGTGTCCCGGCAAGGGTGGTATGGCGGCAAACAAATCACAAGATACGGGAGATATGACTGCTGTGGACAGTGGTACAATGGTGGAATTGGAATCAAATTTAGGTGAGTTAATGAATTATTTTCTAAGGATTTGGTATTTAGATTTTTTCTTTTCGAATTCTTGCAGGCACCATGGTAATAAACTCCGATTCGGATGACTCGTCCACGGCCAAACGTAATGAGGGAAATAAACAACGTTATCGTCCCCAGTTCCTGGATCATTTCGAAAGGAAAAATCCCGATATTCAGCAACGTTCTGTGGCCGAGGACAAAGCCGCTGAATATTCGCCGGCAGCAGCGGCATTGGCTGCGGCAGCCATTTCCAACTCCCAACAAAACAACCACAATCAACCTCAACAGTCCCACAGTCACACACCGCTAACCAATGCCAATTCCAATGATACAAATTGGGAAAATAATATGGAGAAACAGTTTCAACAAATCTCGGCCATTAATCAATACGGTTTGCAGCAGCACCAGCAACATTTACAAATGCAACAACAGCAGCAGCAGGCGGCCGCCGCAGCTGCGTATTATGGCTGCAATCCCTTGATCAATGAACAACAACAACATTTATTAGCTTTAAATCAACAGCAGCAGCAACAACAACAACAGCAATATGTGCAACCGCCACCTGCCTACTCCCAACAACAACAACAGCAGCAACAACCCCATCCCGGCCAACAACAACATCATCATCATCATTTACACACCTCATCCCACTCCTATGTGGATGGTGAATTTGAGTTCTTGAAATTCCTTACCTTTGACGATTTGAATCAACGTCTCAACAATATTGATTCGGAAATGGAAAAAGAAATTGAGGAGCTCAACAAGAAGTATAATGCCAAGCGCCAACCCATTGTCGATGCAATGAACGCCAAACGCAAACGTCAACAGAATATTAATAATAATTTAATTAAAATTTAATGTTAAACAACAACAACAACAAAGAGAATTTAGCGCTCACCCAACGCAACATAGAAGTAGCAGCAACAACAACAACAAGAAAGCAACGAAAAACAGACACATAACATACAACAAAAACTTTCCCCACCTGTCCCCTCCCTTCCTTCCTTCCTGGGAAAAATACATTTCCTTATTTGCAATGGAACGTTGTCGCTGCCATTGTTTTAAACATTTGGTGTGTCAATGTTGTTGTTGTTGTTCAAGAAAGTATTGGTGCTGTTTGGTTGAGAGGCGTCAGTGGCTACGTGAGTGCGTGGGATCGATCAATAATGATGACGATGATGATGATTATGATGATGAGGAGGAGGGAAAACCCATTAATGCAAACACTAAAGCATTTTGATTTATAAATCTGTGTTTTTTATCGGTTTGTTTGCCTTTAGTTAAATATGGAGTTAAGTTAAGTATTTTGTTTTAATGTATTAACTAAATACCTATGTGTAGATGAATGGGAGGGGGAGCCGTTTCGCATTATGGGGGGAAGAATAATTTTCTGCGAAAATTTGAAATGAACAACGTTAACAAATAAGGGAATTTAAAGAAATTTGATTTTTATTTTCTTTTTTTAATTGGAATCTCAGTTGTGCTCCTCTGCTTCCTTTTTTCTCTCCCTCTCTCTCTCACTCTCTGTTATGGGTTTGCAAATTAATAGATCATGCCTTCAAACAAACAAAACTCTGTGCTCATAATAAAAAAACAACAACATAAATAATATTAAAAGCTTTACATCAACTTTTTATACATTTATAAAATTTAATATAAGTAACCAGGACACTCATTAGAGATTTTTTTTTAGAAATTTATTAGATCTTTTATAAATCATATCAGCTCAAAATATATTCGAATCTTTAGTTATAAAAAAACATAGATTTTATTTAAAAAACAAATTATATACAAACAAACATATATAAAAAAATGCCTGCCAAAAATGTAAGTGGAACATAAACCACTCCTTATTTTTTTCTTCCAAAGTCTCTAAAATTCAGCCATAAGTTCCCTCCTTTATTCACAAAACAAATAAGCAAAGCAATACAAATGAAAAGAAAGAACGACTCATAATATACGAAAAAAATATATACACACTTAGATATATATTTATAGAAATTAAAATAAAATGTTATATAAATTTTGAAGAAAAAATAATTATTTTAAATAATTGGATAGTAACACAAAATAAATGAAATATTTTTTATACCTTTGCCATTGAAGAAGCAACACCAATCTTTACTCACCCATACACACACACACCCCATATATACATTTTTTTCTTGTAATAATACACATTTATATACCACCCAAACCATAAACATTTAATAATAATAACGAAAAAGATTTCAATCTTTTATAACATGAACACATCGGTGACATTTAAATATTAAAACAAGAAAACTAGTTGTAGTTAAGTTTAAACAATAAACAAATGCAATTTTATTGTAAAACCAAAAAAGAATTTCAATTTTCTTTTCATGGCTTTTTAAGGAGAGCAAATGCCTCAAAAAAAAAAAAAAATGATATCCAGGGTGAGATGAAGAAACTGAACTAAATTCAGACTGCCATCATTTTTAAGCCATTCGTCCGAAAGCCGTTAAAATTATTCCGGTGAAAGCTCATTATATTTACAAGCGTTGAAAAGCATTTTGGTGGGAAAATGTCGCAGAACAACATTCGGGCAGCGTTTGACGGTTTCATTGGCCGTCTGAAGGCCATAATTCGTGCCAAAGGTGACCAATTCGAACAAATCTAAACTTATTCTAAAATTTGATGCTATTTCCGACATTTGTTGCTTTCATTCAATAAAATTAAAAAAACAAAATAAATAAAAAATATGGCGTCTGACTTTGTTGCAATTTTTTTTTTTATCTCACCCTGTGTTTTCTCTAAAATCAAAGGCTTTTTTCATTGAGGATATATTTGAGAAAAATATCTATATTTTTTCCAATAATATTAAAAAAGTACAAAAATAACTTATTTTTATATATTCTGCATAAATAATAACAATACTTCATAACATGTTACCATGTTAGACGCGTTGCATGATCCGTTTTACGTTTCGACATTTTTATGTAGCCCAAAAACTGTAACTCTGCCACGGCACGGGTAAAGCGGGCTCTGAAAAAAAAAACAAACAAGCAAATCTGAAATGTCTATTTAATTTTAACAAATTCTCCCATTTTACTTACTGTATCTGCGGATCAATTTGTTCCTGATCATCTTCGGTAAAATCAACAACCGAACGGAAGGCTTGTAGCCAATCATAAAGATTTATCATACGGCCACATTCCAAGTGTAGTTTATACATCACCGATATGTCGGGCAGTGAGGGCAATAATTGGGTATTTTCACGCAGGTTACAACACTTACATTGTAAATAGAAATGGGGATTGTTAAGGGCCATATGCAAGGCAGCACGCGGTGCACCAATAATGTTTCGCTTAACAGTGGCTATATCGGAAAATACAAACAACTCATGCAATGGCGGAGCCTTTTGTAGGGGGCCCAAGTGAGCCATAACAATTTCTTTTTCAATATAATCCAATGTCTCCTGTACCGACTTTGCAAATTCCGATACAGGTTTTTGTTCCTTAGACATTTGCAAAAGTTTATCTTTTAGATCTTGGCGTGAGGAGACTTGTTTTAACTCTTCCGGAGATGTGACTGTGGTTTGCTGTTGCTGCTGCTGCTGTGATTTGCCAGCATCCATGCCAGCCATAACAACTTTGGTAAGCAGTTCCTTGACATCATGCAATTTGGTAATAACTATCTCCTCACAGTCTGCGAACAATTCCAGCTTTTCATGTATCTCGTGTTCATAGAATTCCTGAGTTTGGGTAATGGCCTTGGAGATTTTTGCCACAAATTCATCTTTAGACATAAAGGCCAATACTTGCCAACATTCTTTATATTCTGGCTGTGAGCAAACGTCTTTGGCCAAACATGTGGCATACAACTCACGACGAAATTTGCCCAATGGACATTTGGGTAAGTCCTCAACCAAAACGGTTAGGAATTCCAAAAAGATGCGATAAAGCATAAAATAGATATGACACTCTTTTAGGAGACTTGGCAGTTTCTTTTTCAGATAATCATCGTCGGTTAGTATGGCAATAATGCGTTTGCAGTCATTAATGCTTTCCACATATGGACGAAAAGATAATTGCTTGCGTATCATCTCCATATCATCATGGGTGAGAGCCTTGATTTTGGTCAAGGAAGTGGAATAGTTACAGCACAAGACATAGGCATTGCCTTGGAAATAGTGTTCCATTAGACAGTACTGCAAAGAACACAATTTGTTGGAATTCAATCAAATTACTTTAACATACTTACCTTAAATCCTTGTATAAAACCATTTATAGAAAAATCATAGTAGAGGAATATGTGGGTTAGAAACTTAAAGGCCTTGCCCGACAAGTGAAAGGCATATTTGGGCGATAATATGACCTTTTCAAGGATCTTTAAAGAAATAAGAAATGTTATTGAGTTTTAGTTTTTAAACACCATTCAAAGTACCTCATTCAGTCCAACTGGAGCCGATTGTGTTTTGAAAATGCGCAATTTAATTTTTGATGTAACATGATAGGGCAAGGCATTGTGTACCGCCGCAATGGATGTGGCAATGCCCAGAATTAACATGAACGGTAGATCTGTACAATTCGAGCTAAGTATCAAAATAAGATCTTGCAATATGAATGCATTGAAACACTCAAAATCCGGCAATATAACAATGAGCATGTGTCGATTTTTGCTATTTGCATTATCTTCTTCATTTGACTGGGGATTTTTGTCGGAAGCCTCCGGCCAATTGTTGCGATACCATGTCTTCAATTGTTTCATAGTGCATTGTGATTTCCTTAATCTCTTATGATCACGATCTTCATCGTCTTCATGGGGAGCTTCAATGAAATTATAAACCATAGTTTCCACGGCTGATTTTAATGTGGAACAATCACGCGATTGCAGCAGACAAATACTGGCCGATATTTGTTCATTGATACGATGCGAGAGATTATCAAATTGTTCCAAGTGATCGGGTTGATTAATGCCCGTCAATAGAGCTGCAGCGGGTACTATTTCAACCAGTCCCAAATATTTTTCTTCATTTTTACTCTCCTTTACAACATAGTCCACCAATTCCTGCAAAGTTTTGGCACTGCTCTCAATTTGTAAGGCATCTATGTGGCTTTGTATTTTATTCCAAGTTTCGGCATAAACCGCGTAGAATGGTTGATCGGTTATCTCCTTTCCCAGTATGCCGGTTTGACCGGGTGATGCCTTTTTGCGTTTTGTGGCTTTTTTGGACTTGTCTGCTCGTGTGGCACCATTTTTAAAAACAAAACAGCCCTGCAAAGTGAGTGTGGAGATATTATTCCCAACGGACTATAACTTACCAATTATTATGCTGGATACTTACTTTGGAAACCGATATGGTTGAATCCATAATGCATTAGCTACTGCCTTTGGCTAGCTATAAAACAAAGTATTTAATTGATTTATTGTTGGATTTTGTTTAAGTCAGCAATATCCTATTTAAAGTTTGTTCACTTCTTCTTGCGCAAAAATGAACAAGCTCATCAACAAAAATCCAAACCGTAAACAAATTAAAACTGACAGCTTCAAAAACAAAACAAAATTTCGCGCCATTTTTCATCTCATATGTTGTTAAAATAGGTAGTACCTTCTATGTTGACGTAATGTGTATGGCAGCCTTTTGGCAGTACAAAAGAGGCGTTACGCACTCTGAGGGTTTTATTGCACTAAAGATGCATACGGAATTGAGCGAACAGATTTGTGGGATATAATACTCTGTTGCTACCTCATATGAATGTAAAGAAAAATATTAACCAGTATTATATTCAATCTTTATTACAGATTAAAAAATATTGAAAAAATAAATAAAATGAAATTAAATTAGTAAGGAAAGGTCAAAAGTCGGGCGGGGCCGACTATGTGATGCCCTACACCACTATGAGTATTTAGTAAAGCTCCCGTAGCAAAAAATTGATATTGGGAATTTATGTGAAGTAGATTATACCAACTATGAATCAAATAACATTGCTATTAATATGTGAATTAAATAAAGAATATATTAAAAAATATTTATTGCATGAGGATGAAACCTATATATGCGAGCTATAGCTATACCTGAACCGGTTTTTTCCTAAATTGATGCACTTGCTTCTAGACAGAATTCGGTCGGATGTACCAAAATTCAGGACATTGGGATTGATAATTGCCAATTAACCCGAAATCGGTTGAAGATATACATGGGAGCTATATCCAAATCTGAATAGATCTTGATAAAATTTGGCAGAGGCAGATTTCTGGGCTGTATCTTATAACTGGTACCAAATATCATTCTTGTGGGGTGCATATATCGAATGTGAGGGCCTTAAACACCAAATCGGATGCAAAATATATTTGGAGCTTTAGCTATATATGAATCGATTTTCACCAAATTTGATGTACTTGCGGTCGGATGTGCCAAAATTCAGGACTTTTGGACTGATATTGGCCATTTGGTGCACAATTAATCCGAATTCGGTTGAAGATATATGGAAGCTATATCTAAATCTCACTGTCCCGATTATCACCAATTTCAATAGGGTTCGTTTGTTCACAAGAATACATAGACGGACAGACTGAGATTACATATAAAAATTCATCACCTTTATTAAAGATGAATTTGTACAAAAATGTTTATTGTGATAGAGTAAGTGAAGATGCTGCTTAGTGTAGGAGCTTCTGTTTGGGGCGATGGACGTGCTGCTTGTGGTCGAGGCGAACCTTTTAACTGTGGAGCTGCTGCTTCTGGTAAAGGGTTTCGGCACGGGATGGTGAAGTTGCCGTTAGCGTTGGTGACTGATCTGGTGATTGCATTGCTAGACCTTCTGCTTCACTGTATATTTGGAGCATATATAGGATACGGTTTAGCGTATACCGGATAAGCACAATACCCAAACCAATTAATAAACCACGGTGAAGCTGCTAAAGAAAGTAGTCTTTCTTGTCCAACCCTGCCTTGATTGGTCTTGTTCACCCTTTATTACAATATTACATCTCCAGATCCCTGAAAAAGTTGTTTATCACTACAACATTTTGCAACACTGCAAATAAAGGCAAACAGAGGATTTAGCAGCTTCAGAGCAGAGAGGGTTCCAATGTTGTTTTAATTATTAGAAATCAATTTAAAAGTTTTACCGTGAAATATTTCACAAATTACCAATAAAAAATGGATGATATAGATTTATACGAAGACCTGGATGAATTCCAAGAACAACAAGAACGGGTAAAACACAACGAAATTCGCGAAATTCCTTTACGGTAGACGAAAATCAAATTTTTTCTTTCATTTTTAGAAATCCAAAGAATTAAAAGAAGCTGAGGCAAAATACCAAGAAGCTTTGCAAACTATACACCAGTTGGAGGATGAGAACAAGAGTTTAACAAAGAAACTACATCGCATAGAATTAAGTTTTCAAAGTCTACTAGACACGGCACGCACTGAGATAAGGCGCAAGGATGCAGAAATTGAAAGACTGCGAAAAGAGTAAGGCGTTGGGTTGGAGAAAAAGAAATGCGTAATTAACGAAATATTCATTTCATTTTTTCCAGGAAAGACGACATCTGTTTTAGAAGAAGAGTTCCTACACATTCAAAGAATGTGGAACAAAATCAAAGAAGTTCAGCGTCTGAACGAAGAGATGAACAGCGTTGGCCAAAATGTGATGCAGAAAAGAATCCTGCAAGAAATGAAACTTCGGATGATATTCAAGGAAATCCTAACAAAAGACGCCTTGATTCCAGTCCAACAATTCCCAGTGACAAGAGACGTAATACAAACGATGAATATCATCGTAATACAGGGAAGATTTCTGCACAAGATGCAAGCTATAGTTCTAGATGTAAGGATAAAAAAGCTGAAGTAAGTCCAGTTCGCCAAAGTTATAAAGAAAAATATTGGGAACGACGGGATGAACGGGATAGAAGATCACATCACTCGCCATCATCGAAAAGGAGAAATGATTGCCGCAAAAGAAGTCCAGATCACAGGGAGCATCAGCGTTCACATCATAGAGATTGGGAAACAAAAAATAAATCTGATTATGAGCGAGAAAATGAATACAAACGTTCCCACTCACATCGCAGTGATTCCAGAAAGACAGAAAACCACTGTCACAGCAGATGGAGACTCCAACAGATCTACAGAACACTTGCATTCTTCAAAAGTCAAAGAGATGAAGAATTTAGGGTAAGTTTTATATATTTTTTTTTATTAATTTTATAAATCTGTATTAGTTTCCTATACCTATTTTAAGAAATTTTAATAAATGCCTGTAAAAAAATGAAGCCGGAATCATATGTAAAATGCTCCATTTCATGTATAGCTGTTTCAAAGGTTTTTTTTGGGAAGATTTACGACATCATTTTTATTTTGAATTAAATTAAGTTAGCCTCATTTTTTATTGATTTATAAACAAATTATCTTTTTATTGAATTTGGAGGAATATTGTCTATTTGTTTTCCTTATTCCAATTCATATCCAAATCCGGGAATATTAAATAGGTGTCCGAGTTGTTTTTAGAATTGCCCTTTCTCAAGTTGAAGTTCGCAGAGAATAAATGCAATAGAATTCCAATAACTGCAGCATCTTACTGATTAGTTTAGACCGTAGAATTGGGATTCTAAAAACCTCATTTGTCCTTTCGATGCTGTACAAATTATTGGGATTCTATCATAGACAAAATTCCACATTGTTTGTGTAAGTATCTCTGTTTGGGATTTTGAATAATGAAATATTTTGAACTTTTTTACAGATCCAGTGAATTGAGGGGACATGGAACCCCACCAACATTAGAATCCAACAACCGAATCCCCAGCGATAATCAAAGTAGCATAAATGAATCAGACAATAAACCGGAAAAAGACCTTCGAAAAGAAGAGGAAAAAAGCAAATGTTTCGTGGCGAAAAACAATGAAATAAATCCCGAAGAAGGACCTCCCAAGGACAATGTAGCAGGGTCTTCTAACAGGTGTAGAAATGATCAAAAATCTTGTAAAAGTACTCTCCACACTTCTTCTAAGGAAAATTTGTGTGATGCGATTTTCCAACGTTTGGAATGCAGATTCCAAGAGAATGGATACATTAAAATTGGACCACGACAAGTTGGATTTATATGATGTTCTTTATGAAGATTTGACTAAGATTCTGAAGAAAGTAAAATGCCAACAAATCACCAAACCGCGACAAATTTGTATGATACTCTATACGAAGATTTGACTGAAGACCCCAAAGGAAATTTCTAATAAACATCAAACTGACCAAACCGGAACAGATGTATGTGACATGCTTTATGATGATTTGGATACGGAACCCAGGGAGGAGGCCAATGCAAATATAAAAACCCAAACAAAGGACAATGCTTGTGTTGTCCTCTACGATGATTTGGATGAAGAGTCCAAAGAAAAAGGGAACAACCAAAATCATCCCCTAACCACATTTCGAACAAGGAAACCGGCAAACAAAGCTCCAATGAAGATGTATGTGATGTCCTGGAACCCAAGAAAACCGTTAACATTCCCCGGCCGACTAACACGCCGCGCAAAGATACCCTATTCAATGCACTTTTCGGGCCATCGCCAAGTACAACAGAAGTAGCAGTGGTGGAACTCCCAAATATATTCTCAACAGAAATCTTGAAATTGGATCTAAAACTACATCACCAAGTGAATATAGTGACATAGATTCTGAGGCAAATCATAAAAATAATCAGCCTAAAAGTTTTGATAAAATGGAATTGGAAAAATGTTTTGTACCGAATGATGCGAAATTAACAGAGAATGTTATTGATTTGACAGAGCAAGAAGAAGAAGGAGGGGATATCTGTGATAATGAAAAGGTTAAAGATTTCAAAGGACATACAGCAGATAAGCAAACGGGAAATTCAAACGCAAATCTAAATGCTCAAGGCAGCACTAACATACAAATACCTGGCCTGGATTTACTTATGGTTAGTCTAACGAAAGATATTCTAAAGACATCCAAGAGAATAGATGAAATAACTGCTGCCACCAAAACACAGGATGTTTCTATGACACGGGACTCTTCTTTGGAAAACAAAGCAAAAGACCTTCAAAACATTCAATGTATCAATGAAAAAGTTTGTCCTACTACAGACACGAATCAAATGTCTTCCTTGGCTGGAAATCAAAACGAAAAGGCTGCCACCGGGGAGAGTTTCTGTAGAATGGTTGTAGGTTCGAAAAGTGGAAATTCGAATGAATCCAAAGAATCTGAAATTTACACAACAAATAAAGAAGTTGAAGGTCCAATGAAATCTTCTGAAATAACAAGAGAAGAGCTTGAAGAGCCTTTGAACTATCCTAAAACGGCAAAACCTTCCGAAACGCCTGTTTTATTTACAAATCCCAATGAAAGCAGTTTCAAAGGAGATGAAGCAATCACTGATGTGGCTGAAAACTCCACTAAAAGTGCAGATCATAACAACGCTAATTCTCCTCCAAAAATGGAGTTTTCTTCTAAAGAAATTGGAAGAATTCATCTCCAAAAGAGCCAGCTGCATGTAGAGCATATATCGGATCCCGTAAATACAGCCGAAGAGGTATTTCACGTTAATGAATCTGAAATGACAAAGAGTTCTAAAATAGTTGCTAAAGATGTCAATTTAAAAGAAGTTTCTATTACCGCGAATTTCTTACCATCCAAGTCTTCGGCGGCAGTTCAAAATTTTGAAGATACGGGTGTATCGGAATTAGAATTGAAATTACCACCAAAGTCTTTGGAGGAGGTATTGAGAACAGAATCAGTTACATCTTCCAAGGCATCGGAAGAATTAGACTTACCTTCAAAGACCTCAGGATCGGAATTAGGGAAAAAATCTGATTTATTTCTTTGTCTGAGACCAAAGCCAAATTAGATCCCACCAAATTAGAAACGCCAACCAAAACTCCTACTTCTAAAACATTAAATATCTCTGCCGTGTCTCCCGAGGCTTTGTCGACTTGCGAAAAGTCCGATTTCACGAATTTAGATTCTCCCTTAAAATTGTCTAAGGAATTGGAAAACATGTGTTTTAAGCCGATAACCTGTATTAAATCAGCAAAAGTTTCTCCAAAGTTAGATTGCCGAACAACCGCAGCTTTAAATACCTCTAAAGAACCTGCAGTAGATTTCAATTGCTCGAATTCTGAAGAACCGAAATCGATTCAAGCGCAACGAGATTCTCCACAACTAAATTGTACAGCAATCACACCCATAAAAATATCCAAAGCATGTGAATCATCCCCGAGGGTTATGCAAACGTTGTTATATTGTGATGAATCCTTGCCGGCAGACTCCACCTCCAATACGCCTTTAAAAGCAGCAAAAGAATTGGATACTAGCAGTACATCTTCTAAACAAAATTCTTCGGGTTGTTCTTCACTCGATTTAACATGGTCGGATGGCACACCGGAAAAGAACAAAGCGTTAGGGGCTGAAAACTCTTCTCCAAATGAATTTCAGCAGGAGGGAGATGCTACAAATCTTATATCCCAAAAAGCGGAAGTAATTAAAGAAAAATCTGTCCCAAACATTGCAAAACTGCAGGAGGATCACAAGCCAATTGAGACATCTGTAAAGAATCAAGAGATTTCCAATTTAAAAGGGGATTCAAATCCTGGAAGCTCTCCAGAATTGAAGACGGCTACAGAAGAGACTGAAGATCTTGAAACATCTTTGATTATTATTGACGATCATCAAGACGTTTTAAACTCAAAAAGCCATTTGAAGCCAGAAAGTCCCACCAAACTGCATAAAGATTCAGTAGAACCTGAAGATTCCGATGTTTCTTTGATTATTGTTGATGATCAGGAGTTGTGTGACTCAAAAAGAGATTTGAATCGAGGAAGTCCCAACCATCAATCAATAAATGAAATAGGAGAGCCTGAAGAAGATTCAGTTGTTCATAAATCTTTTGCTGTGGCTACAAATAATTCCGAAATTTTTGAATTGGAAGAAGAAAACATGGGAGAAGAGTTGGAAGTATCAAATCCAGTTATATCAGAAGGAGGTGTAGATGAAGATAGGGACTTGGAACCGAGAGTGGATAATAATTTGAAACTGGATCGAAACCTAACCGCCCAAAATTCTAAAACCTTTGAAAATAATCCAAAAGAAGCCAATAACAATTGCCTTGAAACATATTCCAAAATTCCGGATATGTGTCAACAGTCTGCCGAATGTCCAGGGCAGGAGAAAGATGAATTAGGGCCAAAGAAGGAAATGCCTGAAAGTGAGGAGGAAAATTTGGCAATGAAAACTTCTTGCGAATTAGTTGATGAAGCCAGTGCTGTAAGAGATAAAACGACTAAAGAAAATAATGGTAGAGCCTCAGAACAAACAAAAGCTCCTCTGGTAGAAGATGAACAGCCCAGCCTCATTTCTGAAGATCAAAAAAGACATTCGATATTAACGAAAGATATTGGAAATTCTTCAACTGAAAAATTTAAGACAAATATTTCTTTGAAAAATTTAAACACTGTCGAACATTTTGAAGAATCTGAAAAGGATAAAGAATTAAAAATGCACGAAGCGAAAGTTCTGGCATCCTCCGAAGAACATGGCAAAGATTCGATGGGTGGACAAAGTGAAAAATGTATCGAAAATCCCAGTGAAGAAGAGGATAAAGATTCGATGGGTGGGCAAAGTGAAAAAGTTATCGATAAAGCCAGTGAAGAAGAGGAACTTTTGTCCATGGAATATACCATGAAGAATAAAACTCCTTTAAAGTTCTCAAAGGAAACCAATTTGGATTATATGGAGCAGGCAAATGTTGCTTCAGCTCCACTTGAAATTGCTGAAAATTCTGATAAAGGAAACAATGGTCTCGAAACTAAGTCTGAGGATGGAAATTTCAGCAACGGAGACAGAGAAGTAAATGTGGAATGTTCCGGCCAAGGCAAATTTTCTTTGCAACCTCAGACTGATTTGAGATTCACGAAAGAAACCAATTTGGCAGACCACGATAAAGCCGAAAATCGCCAAGAAAAATCAGATCTAACATCTAAACTGGTAAATGGCAAGACTGAAGAATGCCAGGAATTTGAAAATAGCTTACTTACAAAGGATACAAGTGTGGGTCATGCCAGTATGCCAAGCCTTACTAAACAAAAGACTGATTTTAAGGTGCCTATTCCGCAAAATAATGAAAGTAATCAAAATAATAAAACATCCTCCTCCAAGTCAGGATTGGAAATTGTTAAATTCCAATCCCCCTCGAAAACAAAGCTGTCTCCAATCATTAACAATACCTCAAGTGATTGTACAACTACCCTGAAATCGTTGAGTTTAAATGACTGTTATAACGTTCCCATTGTGTTGCCTTCCATATCCACCTCGTGTCCAACCCCTTCAAATTTTAGTGGGATTTTCTCAAAGAATATACACAAAAGTTCCAGTGAAAATCTTCTGGAAAATTCGAACATTTCTGTGGCTAAGGCTAAAGAATTTGTTTTGCCAGCCGCCAATGTCCTTTGTACGGTGGATAATTTAAAGGATGCCACAAAAACCACCACCTCCACCGCGACAACAACAATGAATTTGTTAAATAAAAAATTGCATTGGGAATTGCTGGAGGTGAACAAAGACACCATTGAAATTGAAGATGATTCGGATGCTGATAGTTCTGATGAGGATAAGAAATTGAAAATAATGGAAGAGGAAGATCAAAAAGATGAAATTCAAAATATGGCCAGAGAAAATGCAGCTGAAGAAGAGATATCCCCTAAGGGGGGACTTACATGCCCAACAAATGGAAACGTTTCCCCTGCCTTGGAGACCCTTGAAGTTAAAGAACATTTGGCAAAAGACTCAAATCTTAAATTCTCTGATAAAATCAAGGGTTCTCGTACCCAAGAGAGGCAAAAAACCAAGCCCCTTACTGTCTCACCCATACGCGTACGAAGTGCTGAAAAACTCATGGACAAGGCCATTCTCCGATTGGCAATGATTAAAAAGAAAAAGCTCCCCTTGTGCCTCTCCTACAAATCGAAATGCCATCGAGTTACAAAGAAGAAACCGAAATTAATTGCCGCCAATTCAAAGCAAAGAAAAGGCAAGGCAAAAAATGGCAAATTCAAAACGGCGGACACGGATGATTCGCGCAGCACCTTGGGAGAGATTCTATCGAGCAGTATGCAAGAGAAATTGGTTTTGGAAGCAGTGCCGAAAATGGATAATTTAAGGAGGCCTAGGTGTTTAGATGAGAACATGCGTTCGATGAAGGGATTGGCATCAGCTTCTTTCAATGAAAAGGTTCCATTTGATTTGAGAGGTAAAGGGGAAGGCCGTACGGCAGCTGAAAAGACGATAAAGGCGATTGATGTATCGGAATGTCATATGAACAAAAATGCTTCATCAGAGTTGAGGGATAATGGGCAAGGAAGCACAGCAGCTGATGAGTTGAAAAAGGTAACGGATGCCTGGGAATATCACTCACCTCCCTCCAATAAAAAACCTTCATCAGAATTGAGAGGTAACGAGGAAGCCATAATTACCGCTGGTAAGCCCCCAAAGCCATTTGGTGATGTCCCAGAATGTCATACTCCTTCCCCGAAGAAAAAGAACTCCTCTGTGTTGGGATATAATAGGGAAGGCGGCACAGCATCTGCTCAACAATGCCAAATCTCATTCCGGAACAACATGGATACAACAGAGTTGAGAGCCAATGGGGGAAGTTACATTGGTGCTCGAGAATGCCGTACATCTTACCTTAGCAACAAGGATTCAACAGAGTTGAGGGCTAAGAGGGGAGACAGCACAGCAGCTGATGAAACCAAAAAGTCAAATGATGGTAAGTATTTTCTTCAGAACCTGGAAACCAAACTTTTTTCTGAAACTTATTAAAAAAAACACCCATTTTCGTTTCAGAAAATCAAAAATTTAAAACAATTCCAACTAAGACAATATCCGTTCAGACTAAAAAGGAAAATGAGCAAACGAGGACCAAAAAGTTAGATAACTCAGATGAAAATACCTCCCCAATTCGATATCAAAATATTTTGGTGGTTTCCCAAACTCCCACTTCGCCAACGCCAAATACATCTGGAACAATGAAAACTCCTTTAAATATCCCTGGTGAAATATCGGAAAATATTGACAAATTTGTAATGCAAACTTCCTCTGCCAACCCAGATATTTCCAAGACCCCTAAACAGATGGAGAATATAACAAAAACTGTGATGGAAGAACCAATTTCACAATCGGGAAAACTAATGCCAAAATTCGCATCTAAAACAAATGACAGTGTAAATCACGATATGCCTGAGACTTCCTCCAAAAACTCAGACATTTCTAAGGACATGAGAAAAATCATGGACAAAACGACCAGCAAAGCAAAAAACTCATCTCCACTTGGACTGAAAAAGGAAACGGCTCCAATGACATCAAAATCAGATTCTAATACAAAAACATTCCCAAAATCTCCTCATAATTCTGCAATTTGTTCTCCAGAGAAAAATGCATCCAAACCTTTAGTTTCTATTGCCAAAAGTTCTCAAACTTTGGCCGATAGGAATGCAGCCAGATCATTTATTATGAGCTACAAAATACCCAAACTTAAAAAGCCCACAGAAAATGGAACTCAGAAAAATGCAGCTGAATCTCCTGGCTCGGATAAGGCGCATAAAATGCAAAATTATTTGGCAACATTACAAAATATTTTAAACAATGATGTGGTACCACAAACGTGGAATGTGATTTGTGATAACAAAGCGAATCCCTCGCCCCAAACATCAATGGAAAATCGATTTTCCAATAAAGGTGATTTAACGATAACAAAATCAAGAAGAAAGTCCATGTATGTCGATGTTGCAGATTCTAGGTCTCTTTTAAAACCCAGCCATGATGAAGTCTGTAAAATCAGTGACCCAATTCCTTTGGAGAATCAAGCCGAAAAGCCTGCGAAAACCATAAAATCAAGAAGAAAATCAAGAGTTATTGAGATTTTCGATAGCCAACATCCGGAAACCTCAAACTCATCAAATAGCAGCATTTCGCCGATTTGCCAAAATGAGGAGGCTTTAGAGGAGAGGACCAAACCTAGTTGTGAAACGAATTCCATTATAAAACCCAAAAACCCAAGACGAAAATCAATGTGTGATTCAAGTTCCGGCAAAGATGAAAATCAGGAAATTCCGACAAAATCTTTGGCAACTCAGTGTGTTGAGAAGACCAAGGAAGTTGTTGGTACAAAAGACAGGCAAGGTAAAGAGGATAATGGTATTAAATCGGAAAAGAAATATCTAGTGGCAAGGCGAAAATCTATGTTTGCTGAGGGCAATGAATCAACATCTTCCATCTCAGAAAGTGCGACGAATTATGAAGATACCACGGGAAGTCAATATGATGAAAACCCCTTACAAATCATTGGGAATAAATCTTCACCAGGTAGCGAAGGGAATGGCATTGAATCTGCAAAGACGTCGTTGATAGCTCGGCGAAAATCCATGTTTGCTGAGGCCAATGAATCAAAATCTTCCATTTCCGAAAGTACGAAATATAATGATGAGGCAACAGCATTGGAATCACAAACACAAAATCTAGACTCCACAGACAATAATCTGCGCTCCAAGAAACCATTAAAACTAAGACGAAAATCAGTGGTTGTTGAGGTACACAATTTAGAAAATTCTTCTTCTACTTCTTTGGATCTCCATAATGAAGGAATTCCGAACCGTGGTGAAGATGAGTTATCAATGAGATTGACAGAGGACCACAATAAAACCCAAAATTCCGTGGATAAAAAACCTTTGAAATCCAGACGAAAATCAATGTTTGTAGACAGGGAAGATTTGAAATCTTCCCAAGGGCAGCAGCTTGAAAAAGAAACAAATAAATCTTTTGTCGAAAATATGGAAAAAGGCAAGAGTGACACTATGGAGAACAAACCTTTGGGTCAGGAAAAAGCCTACTCTAAAAGTCCGACTCTAAAAGAGAAACCCATTGCTGTTGAAAGCCCAAGGGCCCAAGGCCAAAGTACCATGGAAACAGCTGTTGAAACTAAAAGTGAAAAGAAACCATTAAAAGCAAGACGTAGATCATTATACACCGAAATTCTGAGAGAGGAGGAAGAGGGTGAAACTTTGGAGTCAAAACAAGGTGGGAAATCTTTGATGAAAACGGAAGGAAAGGATAAGGAGGCACCACAGAGTTTGGCAAATGATAATCTTAAGGCGAAACCTCTAAAATCAAGGCGCAAATCAATGTATGCCGAGGTGGGTGATTTCATGGCAGAGGAAAGAACATGTAAACCTCAAGATAATGAATTGGATGATACAACATCACAGGGAAAAAATTACAAACCGGAAGCAGCTGATATCTTAAAAACCTCTGAAGCAAAGGGCAAGCGAAGAAAATCGATATACGTAGAGGAATCTATAACAAAGGAAGACGCTGCTTCCAATAATCTTGAAATAGATGCTGCATCATCACAATCGACACTTGACAAACCAGAAGCTGCTGGAATTTTAAAATCCTCCAATGCAAAGGGCAAACGAAGAAAGTCGATGTACGTAGAGGAACCTATAACGAAAGAGGGTATAGATTCCAATAACCTTAAAATAGATGCTGCATCATCACAAGCGACACTTGACAAACCAACAGCTGCTGAAATCTTAAAATCCTCTAATACAAAGGGCAAACGTAGAAGATCAATGTACGTAGAGGAACCCATAGCAAAAGGGGACACTGATTCCAATAACCTTGAAAAGGACAAAAAGAAAATCACGAAAAGCCGTAGAAAATCCATGGTTGTTGAGAGACACGAAGTAATGGACAATAATGGGCCTTTCACGTGGGACCATAATCAAGGTATAGAGGAAAGTCTTTCTGAAATAACCACTAATGCCATGGACAATACAAATTTCATGCCAAGGGATAGCCAAAGGCTAAATGTTGACATGAAGGATACGCAAAAAATGACAGCCAAAACCACAAAGAAAAGAAGAAAATCAATGGCTACTTCTATGGGAGAAAATATTGGAGAAACTTCTAAACATACCAGTTATGATGTTTTGTTACCAAATCCCTCGGAAGCCATTGGAGAAATAACCGACAGAAAATCCACTTTAAGGCCGCGCAGCAAGTCCATGTATGTTGAAACGCCCATGGAGCCTGAACTCTTGGATAAAACTGCTGAAGCCATGCCGGGTGATTGTATTATCTTCAACCCGAAACATTTTAATTCTCAGCGTCGTATTTTAGACTCCAGCAGCGATGAGGCTGACACCATTGTCCACACACTGCCCCTTAAGCCGGTAATACAAAATGTCGAAATAATAACCCCCCCACCACCGGTCAAGAAAAAATGTTTGCCACGCAAACGACGTGTTGTTAAAGTTCTTAGCTCCTCCTATCAAGCGGATGCCATGGAAACCCCATCTTCCAAAGATCAACAAGATTTCTCATCTACAGAATCGAATGAAATTGTAACTGAGAAATCTTGCCTATCCATGTTGAATACCCATCCCATTTTCAATACTCAGGTCCATGATGATGAGGCAGAGGGAAATTTAAATTTAAATAATATGACACCATCATTGTTACATGATGATCGTTTTAAGGAAATCGATTCAACCATGCAGGACATGTTTAATTCGCCGCAACATGAGCCACCAATTGGCGAAGATCAGCTATTAAATGAGACCAGCTCAAATCTAAACGTTGATGAGGCCACAAATTCGAATAAAGAAAATACAACAAATTCCCAGGATGACACAACATCGACGACGACCACAACAACAACCCATAATACCAGTGACAGCACCAAACATGTCACATTGGGTACTTCGGAATATCGTTTCGAAAAGGTATCCGATAATGTTGTAAATTTATTTATATCGCGCAAACGCAAACGAAAACAAAAATAACAAGAATTCAAATGAATTTTTTCAAATTGACAACATTTCTTTTAAATCATTTCTATTTTAAAGAATGAAAAAAAAAAAAAAACAAAAGTATTTTTTTTATTTTAAGTTTATTGAAATAAGTTCGAATCTGTATATAAGTTAATACAAACAATGTTATTGTTGTTACTTTCGAATAAGTTGTTTTTTCTATCCATTCGTTTGATGTTTTTTTTTTAAGTAACCTAGAAATATACACACAGAAATAAATTTTGAAATATGTAATTATAAAAAAATAAGAATTGTAATATTTAAGCGATTCTCAAAAAAAAAAAAAAACAAAATTTATATTGGATGGAACATAAAAAAGAGGCATTTAAGGATAGATCAATGAAGACGTCTTCTAAGGGACAAAATGAGTATTGAAAACAAGTAAAATAGTATGAGTCAGTTTTGCCGACAGATGTATATCCCAAAATCAACGGTTGTTGAGATAAACAATTCAGAAACTTCTTCTTCTAGTTCTTTGGATGCCCATAATGAAGGAACTCAGAACCGGAAATCAGTGTTTGTGGATATGGAAGATTTGAAATCTTCCTAAGAGCAGCATCTTGAAAAAGAAAGACAATCAATGTAAAAATAATTTGGAAAATATGGAAAAAGGCAAGAGTGACTCTATGGAGAACAAACCTTTGGGTGAGGACAAAGCCTACTCTAAAAGTCAGATTCTAAAAGAAAAACCCATTGCTGTTGATGTGAGCAGGGCCAAAGTACCATGGAAACTGCTGATGAAACTAAATTTGAAAAGAAACCCTTAAACGCAAGACGTAGATCATTATATACCGAAATTCTGAGAGAGGAGGAAGAGAATGAAAACTTGGATTCTAAACAAAGCGGGAAATCTTTGATGAAAACACAAGAAAAGGATAAGGAGGGACCAGCCTTGAGTTATGATTATGTCCCCAGCCTTGAGTTATGATTATTCAAACTGTTAACCCTTTATGGGGAAGGTTCAGAATCAGTTGGCCTATATTGCCCAATTCGTATCTGACCCAAGACTTTTATAAACATTACAACGTGCCAGATTTGGACTACTTCCTATACTTTATATGAGATATGTACAAGTTTTTGGAAAATTCGTACAATATGAGTGAGTTAATAGATATAGCGGACCGAAGTATTCCATTTTCATACTTCATCTAAACAGATAAAAATATTGGTTTGTGCAAAAGTTGAAGGAAATCGAATTCATATTCAATTTTATGCGAAATCATAAATTTCGATAAATTACATATTCATATCAGATTTCTGGTTAAGAGAAATATTCAGTTTGTTTCTCAAATAAGGTATCAGAAGGAGTGGACCGATATATCCTATCTTTATAACAGATCTTGTGTTGGTGGAAATATTTAGATTTGCCAAGTCTGAATGGAATCGAATGTTAATTTCGCGTTTTATGAGCTTCATGGCTATTCAAAATTTTTACCCTTTGTGGGGTGGTACCTGGAGGAGTGGACCGATATCTCCCATCTCCACTCCAGACCTTGGTTAAATAAAAATATTACGATGTGTGAAATTGGAAGAGAACCGGATGCTTATTTCGGCTTTTATGATCGTTTTAGTTATTCAAAATTTTAAACCTTTATGGGGGAGGTACTAGAAGGATTGGTCCGATCTCTACCATTTTTATAACGGATCTTGCGTTGATGGTAATATTGAGATGTACCAAGTCTGAATGGAACCGGAAGTTAATTTCGTGTTTTTATGAGCTTCATGGATATTCAATAATTTGACCCTTTGTGGGAAGGTGCCAGAAGGAGTCGACCAATATATTCCATCTTAATACCAGACCTTGGGTTAATAAAAATATTGTGATGTGTGTAATTTGAAGACAATCCGACATTTACATCTCATTTTATAAGAGTTATAACTATTCCAAATTTTGACCCTTTGTGGGGGAGGTACTGCATGGAGTGGACCGATATTGTCCATTTTCGCACCTTACCTAGCACTAATGCAAATATTACGGTTTGCAAAGTTGTAGCAAAATCGGATTAACTTTTCTCTTACTGTACAGAAAAAATATTTTTTGAAAATTTCGACCTTTTGTGGGGGAGGTACCAGAAGTGGTGGGCCGATATTGCCCATCTCCGAACTCGTACCGGGTACGATGTACCCGGTTTGGATCAAATCGGATGCTCCCTTCGAGAGTTATCCTGTGCACCAGCCAGACAGAGAGGAGAGAAGGACATCGCTAGATCGAATTCAAATGTCTTGAAACGGTTTTTAGAATCAAAGAGAACTTGAGTCTAAAACCGTTATTTCGATTTGGCACGTTTTGGTCCGTATCAAATGATATATAGCCTCTGTAGCCAAATGGCTAAGGGTATAAAGAGGCATTAAAGAGTAGACCCATAAAGAGGTCTTCTAAGGGACAAAAAGAGTTATGAAAAAAATTTAACGACTATTTTGGAATTTCTTAAGTCCTTTTCCTTCCTTAAGAAGACCTATTAGGACTAATTTAACAAGACTTTTTTGGTCTCCTTTACGAAGTACTTTTTGGCCTCTTCTATGAAGATATTTTTGATTATTAATAAATAAATCTATTTCAGACCTTCCATGTGAATAATTTTTTAATTTTACGAAACTCTTTATACCACCCTCGTACCATGACTATTAATTTATCTAAAGCACGCGATTTAAGTAGGCTTTAAATGTTCGTTTTGGCACCATGTGAAAACCAACAACTACGTCATCTTTAATACTACTTATGCTGCTGCTGCTTACTGAATGAATGACCGTCTGGCTGGCTGACTAGTTGGTTGGTTGTTTGACTACATGTCTAGCATGGGAAATTCATTCAATAGAACAAAATTTGTGAAAAAAATCCAAAGAGATCTCCCCTCCAAACAAATATCAGAGAAATAATGGGGGTCACACACCGAGAGAGAGACAGAGAGAGAGAGAGCGGGAATATCTGATTCAATTATCTCTTTTGGCATAACAATTTTCAAATAACATGAAAAATCTTTGTTTTCGCATATTTTCAAAATCAAATACTGGTACTGGGGGAGACAAACTATGGACGAAAACTCTGAGCAGTTGTTACGCGTATTTCCGACGAACACAAAGTGTTCCGCGCTACCGTGCCAGGCGCGTTCTAAACGCCTTTGCAGAATTGAAAAAAAAGGCAATTTTCTTTAAGAAAATTTAAAAGGGGAACGATTTCCCTTTTGCTTTCAAGCAAAAAAGGTGTTGTTTGCGAAAAATATTTAAAATTATTTTTTAAAACTCAATATCAAAAAAATTGCGTAAAATTTTGTGAAAAAGTGATTATTGGAGAACAAAATGTTATTAAAGGAAATTTCATGATAATGAATGATCGCGATGAACAAGGAACCAAAAAAGAAAACACTATTTTTAGCTGCATTTGGCGCTGTGAAAATTATTTATATTTTTTTGTTTTTGTTTGTCTATTTGGGGGGAAACAAATTTTGGCTGGCTCTCAGAGAGGAACGATTTGCCTTGAATTGAAGAGATTTGAAAGACAATAACAAATCTAGTTTGTTTTGATAGTTTTGTTTGCCGCCGAAGCTGGAGAGTGTTATTTTATAATTCAAAGTTTGAAAGTGATCGGCTTTTTAGCATATATTTGCATAACGAATGTTTGAATTGATCCAAACTGCTAATTGGTATAATAGGGCAAACAAGTGAATAATAAAACAGAGCGGAAAGACTATTTTCCAAAGAAATCTCCATTCTGTGTTTGTGGTTTGAATTGATGACTTCCCACAGAAATCTCTATTCAGCCGGGCTGAATTGAAGATTTCCCACAGAAATCTCTATTCAGCTAGGCTGAATTAAAGATTTCAAACATAAGTCTCTATTCGGAAATCACTTTTCATTGAGGATGAATAAAAAATATTCTATAGAGTAGGACTAATAGTTAGAAATCGGAAAATAGTGTATATTATTCTGGTCCTAATAGTCCTTGTTTCCTTATCCTCAGCCAACGTATTTCTAGTCATTTTCGGATAAACCAAAGACAATCTCAAGATGTCCATGACAGCCTTGGGTGTTAGTACCGCCTTTATGGTCGGTTGCTGCATTGCCGCCCAAATTGCCCGCCGCTTGGCTTGTAAATTTTTCAAAGATCAAGGTATTGTACCGGTTTTGGTCAACGAAGCTATAGCATCGGCGGAATTGTGTGCCTGCTGTTTTGAGCTAATTATTGGTAAGTTCGGAGGAAATTATCTAAAAAAAACAATTGTTTTAATCTTTTTCCAAATTCCCCCATTTAGTTGCCGATAACTTTGGTGTGGCTGCCTATGCGGTGTTCCTCTTCCTGCTGACGGTGTGGTGGGTCAAGGTATGGGGCGATGCCTCGGCCTGTCCCTACACCCACATGGAGGATATGCTGGAGGGTAAAACCTCGCTGAAAGAGGTTGCATTGCGCACCTGGGCTGAGCTGATGGGAGGCTGTTGTGTTTATCGCATTGTCCAGGTGTTTTGGTGGTTTGAGTTTGCTGAGACCCATGAGGGCAGGGCCTTTGAAGAGTGTAATGCTGATTTGCAGGTAGGCGAAATAGGATTCTATTTTTATGTTGTATAACATTTCAATTTTTTCCAAGGTAAATCCCTATTTGGGAGCAGCCATTGAAGGTCTGGCCACCTTGCTGTGTCGCCTGGCTTCCAAAACTCTGAGTGAAAAGGGCCCCAAATTCTGCAGCATCATTGATTCCTTTATCGGCACCAGTCTTGTGGTGGCAGGTACGTTACTACCAAACCAAATCTTCCTTCCAACCCCACACTGTACAAACTCTTGCCTGTCTGGAACACTTGAAATTTTCTCAAATACAGTTTATGCTTTTAATTATGCCATGTTTTCAGCTTTCAACTTTTCGGGTGGTTACTTCAATCCGGTTTTGGCTACAGCTCTGAAATGGGGTTGCCGTGGCCACACCAACTTGGAACACATCATTGTCTATTGGATTGGTGCCTGTGTGGGAGCGATACTATCGGTGCCGCTATTTAGAATGCAGGCAGTTCGCAAGGTGTTGTTGGGCGCCGATGAAGTAGCGGAAAAGAAAAAGGAAGAATAAAAGAAAGTGAAGAGAGTAGAAAATCATTTGAAAATTCATGGTTTCAAATGTTTTTGGTCCATGGTATTTTGTTTTGTTTTATGTTGTTGTAAACTATTTAATTGTTGACAAAAAAAAATTGATTAATTTATAGATTTTTGAGATTATTTGTATTTAGTTAATATTAATATGCTTAAATTATATATGATTTTAGTTTAGTTTAAAGAAAAGAAGAACAAATTTTAAATAAATGACAATTTTCCTTGATTGGAGAAGAATATGTTGAATAAATGGTTTGAAGTTTTATTGTAACTCCTGATATTAAATAGACCTTCTTTTGATAACAGAGGCTATTAATTCAAAGTGAATTCTTTAAGCAGAAATCTCTTCATATGGTTTTCTTCAGAGAGAAAGCCATTCAGAGAGTATTCCTTTGTTGGAGAGTTCACTCAGCTGTCCTTATTAAAAGAATAAAGTAAAATGAATAAATAAAAATAGAAATCCAATAAAATTAATTTATTTTTTTAAATTTAACGGTCATTCACATCAATTGCCCCCAAACGAACGTTATGATATGTCACATAAACAGCTGTTCAATGTTTACAAAACAAACAGCTGCTCTATGGCCCCACTCGTTTCGTTTCGTGTTGTGCAATTGTATTTGTGTGAAGTGTTGCCTCCACAAAATAAAAATAAAGCAGAAAAGGTATGGAAATATATTTTCTTAAAATAGAACATAAATAATATTAACCCGAAATATTTCCACAACAGATGTCCACACTCTTAGTGCTAAGAGGACTGAGTAGAACGTGGAGGGGTGTAGCAACAAAAACTTCTGTTATAAAACCAAAGGAAATGGCACCTTACCTCAGATCCTCAAATGAAATAAGCCGGTCGATCGGAAGCACAACAACCGCCCTAAGGCAAAGGGAACAACAACAACAGCAACCAACCCAAAACAACAATGAAGATGAATGGCGCACCATATATAGATTACCATTGATACGCTTGGCTTCCGCCTTTAATCGTGTTAAAATCCCCTATGGTGTCTTCAATGCATTGAGTATACCCGGTGCCTTTGCCCTGGAACAGGCATCCCAGTTGCCACCATCCACCTCCACATTGTTTGCAGCCGTTGGTCTTACCTCATGGATGACTCTATCCATTTGCAGTTTGCTGACAAAAAACCTGGTGGGCATTATGTACCTCAACGATGACAATGACAAACTGAAATTGGCCTACATTGATTTTTGGGGTAAACGTAATGATGTTGTCATCGATTTGGATGATTTGGTGCCCGAAAATGAAAAGAAGCGACCATCGAAATTTGATTGGTATCAAACGTTGACACTGTACAGTAATGATAAGGTGAAGTTTAAGCTATTGCAACGTTTCGGTCAGGTTGAAGATCCCGAAGCGTTTGTGGCGATATTTGGTGAATAGGGTGGGAGAGAGAGAGAGACGTAGGAAGGTTAGGGTTAAAATAAATGTTGTTTTTGAAAAGAAAAATTGTTCAAAATTGTGTTGATTTATTTCTATCAAAGGGAAAATAGGGGACCGGGAATACAAAAATCTAAGCTGGAAAAGCAAGAGCTTGATGAATTACCACGACAAAAGTTTCCACTTTAATTTGTAAAAAAAATGACTATAGTTGGTGCATGGTTGCGGTAAGAGAGATAAGATATTTGTTATGTTCAGTTTCCTTTGTTGCAGGTTTTTTTTGTTTATCTTACCCTGTATATGAAACAGTTTATAGAAAATGTACCTCTCTGAATTAAGAATCTGTAGATCCCCAAATTAAATGTCTACGATGCGGCTTCAACAATTTATTTTAAAACTAATTTAGTTCCTTTTATAAAAGAAAGTAATTAACGAGTTAAAGCTACCAAAGAGACTTCGAAAATTTATTGGAAAATCCAAGAGTAAAAATCTCTTGGATGCTTTGAAAATTATTTTAAAATTCCACAAGATTTGGGCCTCGATATCCATATTTTGGATATTTAAAATAGGATAAATCTATAAAAATCAGAACGATTTTGTTTATGTCATAAGCATTTTTATTACAATATTATTTTCATTTTAAAATAACGCCCATTTATTTGTGCACAATATTGCTATATATAAATATAAAAATTAAAAATTATAACTAAAAATACATAATTTTGGTCCTGTAACAATATTTTTTTTGTCTGTGTAGAACTACTTTCCTAAATAAAATATAAAAAATAATTAATTTTATGTTATCGATGATTCCATATTATTATTTGTGTTGGTGGCATTTGTGGCAGCAGTTGGTGGCAATGAAGAATCATCGTTCGAATGCTTTGGTTTGGATTTACCCAGTTGTTTTGCTTCAGCAACCTGCAAGACAAAGGAAATATTTTTTCAATACTTGGCTTGCATTACCAAAAACAGTTGTTTGAGGTCATACCGTATCTGGTAATTTCTTTTGGAATGTTTCGGGTAAAAGCAAACCCAACAAACCAGCTGTCAGTGAGGCGCCACCAAACAGCAGCAAAGGCAAGGCTTCGTAATAGGTACCCTGAAACAGATAACACTTGGTTATTGGAAAAAAGAAAGTATTCTAACTATTACTTACCAATAGAGGCACAAATGGTGCCAGCATGGCTCCGAAACGGGCAAATGTTGACATGACTCCTACGCCACCACTGCGAATGACCTGAGAGAGAGAAATATTAAAAATTTTAATATCGAAATTATATTTTTTTCATATTATCCTTACCGTTGGCATCATTTCCGCCGTATAGGCATAGACAACAGCAAACGATGATGTTATGCCCAGTTTTCCAATAAGAAAAAGGCTAACGATGGCCCAGGTGGAACCTAAAATTGTAGATGTAATGATAATTATAATAACGTTTATAAAAAATGATGGGTATGTATATAAATTTTACGTTCTTCCATGTCTTTTTGAACTGTGCTTGGCATTAGAAATTTTTTTAAGGAAAAAGGCGAAATATATGAAATATTTAAAAATTAATACAATTCGAATAAGTGCTAATATAACATACAGGGTGAGATAAAAAACAAACTGCAACAAAGTCAAATGCCATAATTTTTATATTTTTTTAAATTTTATTGAATTAAAGCAAAAAATTTCGAAAATAGCATCAAATTTTAGAATAAGTTTAGATTTGTTCGAATTGTTTATCTTTGGCACGGATTATGTCCTTCAAGCGGCCAATGAAATCTTCACAGGCTCTCCGAATGTTGCTCTGCAGTATTTTGGCCCATTCCCGGCGAAGCGCTTGCTTGAGGTGATTGACACTTTGATATTTTTTAGTGCCAAGCTTGCTTTCCAAAATACTTTAGAAACAATAGTCCAACGAACTGGTATCCGAAGTTTTTGGAAATAAAGCGAGGAACCTCATTTTGTAACCATTCTTTGGTGGCGCGTGCTGAGTCTTGTTGGACCTTCTGCGGTCAAAATGTTTGCGTGCCCAAGGCTTTAATACACCCTCCAGAATATTTTCACGATAATATTCGGCATTTATTCTGATGCCACGCTCGCAGACCTTCTGCGGCCAAAATGTTTGCATGTCCAAGGCTTTAATACACCCTCCAAAATATTTTCGCGATAATCTTTGGCATTTATTCTGATGCCATGGTCGATAAATACGAGCGGAGAGCGACCATCGGCTGTTATGGCGGCCCAAACCATCACCATGGCCGACGTTTGAGTTCTGATGGCCAACCTAACGTGCACATTTTTAGCTAACCTGACCTCTTTGGCAAGTAAACACGATCATTTTGTTTGTTTACAAATTGCTGGACAACGAATGTTTTCTCATCGTCGGAAAAAACAAAATTCGGCATTTCACCACTTTCAGCCAAGCGAAGCAGCTCTTGAGTCTATTTTTTTTCGGTTGTGGTGTAAGTTTTTGAACTTTTTGGAATTTCAATGGCTCGACGGCAAGGAAGTGGACGAAAGAACACATCAACATCAGCAGAAATAGTTCGAAAAGTAAAGAAGCGACTTGATCGAAACCCGCGTCGCATTGGCCGAAAAATGAATCGTGAGGTGAACATATCGCAATATTCCATTCGGAAAATATTGAAAACTGAGCTCGGGGTAACATTATTCAATATTTGCCGAATGGAAAATTGCGATATGTTCAGCTCACGAGCTAGCTTCTTTACTTTTCGAACCATTTCTACTGATGTTGCTGTTGTGTCTTCCGTCCACTTCCTTGTCGTCGGGCTACGCTACCAATATCACGGTAACAAGCGATGGTACATTTAAATGCTGGGGTGCTCTAACGATAGCCACTTGTGATTTTCCAGCCAAATATAAAGAAATCACACTATCCCGCTTGAATTCCATCACGAATAACTTTTTTTCTGGGAAATTCTCAGCAAAATGCTTTTGTACGCTTGTAAACAATCTAATGAGCTGTCACTGGAGTAATTTTAAGAGCTGACGGACGAGTGCCTTAGAAATGACAGCAGTCTGAAATTGGTTGCAGTTTTTTCATCTCACCCTCTAAGTAGTGAGTAGGTTGTATAGAACACAATTCTATGCTAAAAAACTATATTTTTGATATTTTAGCATTAAAAACAAAAACAATTTTTGAAAAAAAAAATCTCCAATCTACATGGAAAGTTACCTTGTGTTATATAACCCCCGGCGACACAGGTGACAGCACAGAGAAACAATGACCCCGATAATGAGAAACGACGTCCAAATTTGCGCAATGAGAACTGAAAGATACAAAGATTTAGAAAATAATGTTGCAATGACATGTCCTCCCACTTACCCAGGCCATGGAATAGCCAGGAATCTCCACAAGACAGACCAAGGCGAAATTTAAGTATTTATTGCCGCTAAGATTTGTGGAATTCAAAGAGAGACCATAGTACACCACTGCATTTATGGCCCTGAAAGAACAATGTATGGAAAAAAGGCGGAATCAATTAAGAAGAAATTATGTAGATTCTAAATACTCACCAAATGTATAACATAATTGTATAACGTCCCACCAATGTTTTCGATTTGAAGACCTCTTTGACTGACAACCATATTTCCGATGTGTTATCACCCGTCAAACTTTCTTTGCTATCCATTTCCTGATCACAGCACTTCGTTGGCTCCAATGGCGAGTTTGATTTGAAATTATCCAACAATGCCATGGATAATTCTTTTTTATTAACCTCGGCTGCTTTGCGTATTATCTTTCCAGCACTTTCTCGCTTATTACGGGCAATAAGCCATCTCACCGATTCGGGAACAAACCAATAATAGGCCACAAAGAATAGCGGTGGTACCGACAGGGCATATTGTAGTAATTGCCAGTCGTGTAGTAGCCAAGCTGCCAACCCAACTAAAGCCTCACCCACCGCATAGAAATAGTTGAGGACAATTGAGGACATTTCACGTTTACGCGGTCCAACCATTTCAACGCCAATGATAAAGGCCAACGGATAGACACCGGACGTTCCAACGGCATTAAGAAAGGCAAATACCAGAAAACTGTTGTAATCCCATGCCAAGCCCTGGGCAATGCCTGTCACAGCCATGAACATAATGCATATTATGAAAATGATTTTGCGACCAAAACTGAAAGGCAAGGAGGGAATTTGATCAGAATTTACAAACAAAGGGGAAAATTTAAAGCCACAAACTGGATATTTTCTTTAAATTTTTGTAGACTTACCGGTCGGCAAAATATCCCGACATAGCTGTACCACAAACCAATCCCGCAAAATGCATGGTTCCCACAAAAGCCAACTTCCAAGCATTCTCTTTGCAAGTTAATCCCCACTGAAAGAAGAAGAAAATGTGAGAACTATTATAGAATTGGTATTAAACATTTGATTCTGTTAAATTCAAACCGAACGAATTCACAATAGATTTTTGAATTATTAAAAAAGGCTAAGGTTTAATTGCATTTTGCCAATTTCAATCGAATTAGGTTCAAAACTGTGATCTCTGTAAATAATTGCTAAAAACTCTGGATAATTGCTGGCTCGATTCCCAAACATTAGTTCGAAAATTTGCCATAGCTCATTAATGATATGTAAATATTATTTTTATTTATTCTATTCGAACATGAAGTGTGTCTGATTTTAAATAAAAAATTTGTTCCGCAGACGAATTCAAAGTCGTAAACATTAGATATTTTTCCAGCTGTTAAATATGATTAGGGTTTGGCAGAAAAATTTTAAATTTGCAAAGTGTTACAGAGTAAATCAGTAAAAATTGAAAAAAAAAAAATAGAGAAGACCGGATCTTTGGATCGGATTCGAAAATATATATTTTTTGGGGATTTCAAGTGAATATTTTTATACCCTCAGGCATATGGCTAGAGAGGGTATATATCATTTGATACAGTCAAAACGTGCCTGGTCGAAATAACAGTTTTAGCCCCTAGGTCTCTTTGGACCAAATCCGTTTCAGTCATTTAGAGTCGATCTAGCGATGTCCGTCTGGCTGGCTGGTGAGTACGTTAACTCTCAAAGGGAGTATCCGATTTGATCGAAACTTGGTGCA